TAAAAAAGAGATGAGTCCAGCAAGTACTTTATTCTTGAAAATGCCGGCACTTCTGTTACAGACCCCTGCTAGCCAGGTTACTAGCAGGAGCGGACTCGTCAGGCAGAAAGCGATGACCAGGCAGGACTCGGGCAACCAGCAACTCTTATTGAGTAGAATCCCGGTCGGAGTAACGTCCGAGGCAGCGCTGTGTCACGTGACCATCTACCATCAGATCTACCATCGAGGATATACGATATGGTATACGGGATCCAGGAACGTGATTAGACCGACCCTCGGTCTACCCTGAATGGTATACGAAATGGTATACGAAGGATAGGATATAAGGACACTCTTTCATGTACTTAGCTAGTTCTGTTCTTCGTGCTCAATAACATTATCTTTAAGTAACCATATGTTTTGGTAAAGCTTAGCAATAACACTCGTCCGCACTTACTTACGGATAGCTGCGCGGCACTATCTGGCCTTACTTCTCTTCTTCTGTTCAGGACCAGTTCTCCTTAGATAGTCATCGATCTGACTTACCTTGATTCAGTTCAAAGGTACGACTCGGAATAGAAGCTAAGCTAACAGGAACAGGGAGAAGCGATCCTAGGGTTTGACAACTTCTAGATGATAAAATCAAACATCTACTAAACACAGACATCTTTTCCAGCTTATGTATTTAAATGACTATATTTCCGTGCTATTCAGACCATATCATCCTGTATAAGGAAAATACAGGTTTGGAAGCTCTAACAATCATTTATAATACATATAATTTGCTGATATCAAGAATCATATTAAGCCATCCCGTTCTTTACATATTCCTCCGATAACTGACAAGCCCAGTAACTATTATTCAACAAAAAAACTATATCTTTATAAAAGGGAGTCCCTTGTTATTCTCAATATCAGCTAGTATAGGATATTTTGAGAATCCCTGCCAGACTATCTGCATGCCTTTCTTTAGAGACAGTCTGATATACAGACCACCGTCTATAAACAAACACTCCTCTAGACTCACGATAATCTTATGCACATCCTTATTCAAGCTTCGCTCAAATTTCTTGTTTATTTGATGATGAGAATATGTAAAAAGCTTGAACAACCCATTATTCCAGCACATGGGATTTCTCAGGGGGCGGAAGACAGAGACAGTATTACATAATAAATGGGCTCTCATGAACTGTTTAATCTTAATATTATCCTTAAATTTGATAATTACAGGTCCCTGCTGCTTTATATCATTGAAATCCAATTTCAGTTTGTTTTTAAGAATACTGTAAAACCACTACTTTTTCAATAAAGCCCGCGAATCAGGTATCAGGATATGTACTTCACTATCTGACTTCAGAAATGTTCTGGACTCATTCCCTCCTTTACAGTAGTTAAAACCAGCTGTAATATACTTTTTGCTCTCCTGGAAAACCCTCTCAACTCTTACAGTGTCCTTGTCTGATGGCATTCTATCACTAACATAAAGGTAGCCTAGCTGTTCCATTGTATGGAAGGCGAGTTTCCTGGTGATAATCTGTGTCCCCATGGACAAGGTCTGCGTCTGGTCCGTGTGTTCCATGCTTGCTCGAGAAGGGATGACTAATGATAGAGACTAACTAACGTATCCGGTAAGCGAGCGCCGCACGTAAGCGAGCGCCGCACCTCCTAAATTTTGATCGCGGTCAAACACCTCGCTCATTTCAACCACTAACCATGCCTCCAAAAGCGCGTCAAAATCCAAGAGATTTAATCGAAAAGGAAGGAAGAGTCCTACTAGCAGTCTCTGCTGTAAAAAATTCAGAAATTTGCAGTATTCGTGAAGCAGCTCGTGTTTATAATGTTGCTGAGAGAACTATCTGCAGGCGACTTCATGGTATTACTATATGTATAGAAATACGCGCCAATAATCATAAAATAACTCAAAATGAAGAGGAATCGCTCGTATAATGGATTCTATCGCTAGATCGACGTGAAGCGCCTCCCTAACCCTCTCATATATGAGAAATGGCCAATATTCTACTCGCTCAGCGTGGTACTACACCAATCTAATCAGTCAGGGAGAAATAGGTATACAACTTTATTAAATGATAAGATCGCTTAAAAACTTGCTATACTCGATGTTATGATTATCAGCGCGCTAAATGCGAAGACCTTAAAGTTATTAAGGAGTGGTTTGATCGCGTACAAATCACTATAATGTAACACAGGATTACACAAGAAGATATCTATAATTTTGATGAAACTAGCTTCACTATGGGCTTAGTAGCTACTGCTCAAGTAGTTACTAAAGCTGATTACTACGGAAAGGCCTCTCTTGTATAATCAGATAATTGAGAATAGATTACTTTAATTGAGTATATTAACTTTACCAGTTGGGCGCTTTTTCCATATGTGATCTTTAAAGGAAAGGTCCATATAGAGAGTTAGTATCAAGATATCAAACTTTCACGCGATAGCAGGATTGAGGTTAGTCCTAATGGATGGACTACGGACGAGATAGGCCTTCGCTGGCTTCAAAACCTCTTTATTTCTGCTACTATTAGTTGTATAACTGGGGGATATTGTCTTCTAATTCTAGACAGCCATAGCAGCCATCTTATACTTTAATTCGACCAGATATATAGTGAGAATAATATTATTCCTATCTACATGTCTGTATATTCATCATATCTATTACAGCCTCTAGATGTTGGCTACTTCTCGCCTTTAAAGCGGGTGCACGGCAGCTTAGTAGAGAAGCAGGCATGCTTAGAAATCAACTATATTAACAAGCTTGATTTTCTAGAGGCCTTTTCACAAGCTCACAAACATGCTTTTTAAATAGATACTATTCAGAATAGCTTCGCAGGTGCTGGCCTAGTTCCATTTAATCTAGACAGGGTACTCAGTTAGCTGAATATTCAGCTAAAGATCCCTACGCCACCAGGCAGTTGATTAACCAATACAGTTCCAAAAACACCTTATATAACTAGGCAGCTTGAAAAGCAGGCATCTACTGTGAAGCAGCTACTTAGAGCGCGTACGCAGAGTCCTTCATCTTCACTAGAGGCGCGGTTTGATAAGCTTATTAAAGGCCATGAATTACATCTTAATGAGCTTATTCTTGCACGCGAAGAAATCCATGAATTATGCGCTTCTAATGCAAAGAAGCTTCGAAAAAGGAAACGCTCTACTAGGCAGCTAGCTCTTACAGAGGGGCCAGCTATTCAGGAAGGCCTAGAGCAGTTCCAGCGTGAGAATGAGGTTAATGAAGCTCAAAATACGCTTCTCCTAGATCCTGCACTTCCTGCAGATAGGCCACGCGTACGAGCGCCCCCGCGCTGCAGTGATTGTCATATTTTAGGACATAGGCGATTACAATGTCCTAATCGAGTTCCTAATTACTTTTTAGATAGAAATGCAATTATTTTGTTGATAATGGCCCTAGAATTTCACCTATATATAAAAATCGGGTAGAGGTGCGGCGCTCGCTTACGTGCGGCGCTCGCTTACCGGATACGTTAACGTTAAGGTATAACATATTCTGTAAAGGAACAAATTGACAAGCTGGGACTCGTTCACTACTAATAGGATTTCTCTAAAATCGCAAAACGCAGCAGACCTGATGGTGTTCTCCAATCATCCATACAATAAGCTGAAAACGCGAATTACAGCTTCGCAATGTTTTAATAGGATTTAATACAGCTTAAAATAATGGTCATACTTCTCTAGCCCGTAGCATTACAAACAGCACGGCCTACCATGCATGATGGCAGATTATCTACTACAATGCATTAACCATCTATGTACTACTAGAGTTTTGAATTTACACGTATATTAAACAGCGATCGTACATACATGCTGAGCTGGAATACTATAGCTAGAGCTCCCATCAGGATAGCATGAGCAGAGATGGAATTTGATACCCTTTCATGCAAGCCCATCATGGTCTGTCGGCCTGTATCCTTTACATATCAAATTATAGTCTTGAATAGGATGTTAAATAATGGCTCCAGGAATTCATATCTTCTAAGCAGGAGCAAGCCCAGTAATAATATACTTTATAAGTAGCCGTCTTGCAAGCCCCTTTACCTAGTAAAGATAACCTGTTTAGTATAAGGTCACTTTGGCTACCCCATGACGGTACTATACTCTTAAAATCAAGCCGACTGTGGCAATGTCTTAATTCATGGCCCAACAATCAGAACATTTTGGAAGAGTTGGTGCTGTATATAAAACTGATGTCTGACTAGATGCAGTGACTGATTAAGTATCTATATTAAGATGATGATAATACTTTATCTCATATCTCTGGTAATGCAGTTGGAATAGAATATTATATACTGGAAAGTATTATATATTTAGATACTTCCTGATTAGCTGTTGCCAAGTATTTAGGTTAATGCCTAAAATGTCTCTCAGTAAATGAAGATCACTTCACCTCACTTCACCTCACTTCCACTTCTGTCCAGTCTGTCCACTTCTGTCCAGTCTGTCTGTGACGGCAGCCTTGTTCAGGATTATATAACTACGTTTGTTTTGTTTGCTTTACTGTTATTTTCTTCAAGCGAGCGCCCACAACACTTCCTGTTTTCTTTTTTTCTCCTTACGCTTAAAGTTGTAGAGTAGTTAGCACCAATGTGAGGCTTTTTTCATGTTTGAACAGCCATCTCACTGTCCACTTCTGTCCAATCTGTCCACTTCTGTCTAATCTGTCCACTTCTGTCCAATCTGTCCACTTCTGTCCAATCTGTCTACTTCTGTCCAGCCTGTCCACTTCTGTCCACTTCATTTGACAGGTTCCATCTTTCTGCTCACCAGCCCACTTGATGATAACTATAAGGTCCAATTTTCTTGAGCTTCTTTACCAAAAATGGTAACAGATTAATGTCTGCTAAACAATACCCAATAGCTTACTCTTACTCTTAGAGGAGTACCTATTCATTGCCTGTATGACTAATTTCACGGAAAAACCAAAGAATAATAACAGATATTAGAACAGTCACTACGTGCAACAACACTGATAAAAAAAGACTTAAAATATCTATCTAAATATTTTTAAGATTAATTCTCAAGTTTTTGTCCCTTTCATTCTTGTTATTATATCACGAGTCTGCCTGTTATTTAACATCTCAAAATTCAAGAGCAAGTATACCAAGCAAGAAACTCTTTTTTCATGCAACAAGGCCTTGCCTATCTTTCTAGATATCACTCGGAAGCATGGCCTTGAGAAAACTTTAATATTCAAGAAATTATTGAATGCTATCTTCTATCTCACTCCACCACTTACTGATACTGATAAAAATAAATACTATTTATTATAGCTTAACAACCTTACTGCAGTATACAGTGCCTTTAGTAATACTATATTTAATATAATTAAGCACTCTCTTAATCAAGTCCAAGCCAAGGCTAAGAATCCACTTTTGGAGACCACTGAAAGTGTCTAGACAAATATTCTTAATAAAAATTATAAAGATTTAATAATTCATGTTAAAGTAGAATGAGTATTAAAGCTTACTGATGTTCTATTTCCAAACTTGACTTAAAAAATAGCATCTATACTCTCTGTATGCGCTCTTAATATTTCCCAAAAGAGCTCTTTGGATATTACTCTAGACTCAGATCATCTAGATATAATATCAAGGAAAATTGGTGAGGAAGCTTACTTAAGATCGTTACTATAATTAACTTTAATTAATATCAGATTTAGTATATTTTACTTTATGAGAAGCAACTGTCGCAGTAATATAATCAATTTTCAGTATAGATATATGTAAAGATATAAATAATAATAAATTAAGATAATAAAAAAAAATCAATTTTTAATAGATATCACAGACTGTATTACAATATAAATATGGTAAGTACAACCTTATCATGGACAGATTAAATTGTGTGTTAGATTTTATATAAGTTTAAGTCTAATAAATAATCTATATACACAGTCTACTCCTCTAAATAGTATCTAGACAGTTATAGTCTTTTTATGATTCATGATTTTCCATCCTTTATAAGCACCCTAATTTTGGCAGGAAGGATTATTTCACCACTCTCTTATATAATATATATGGTTCCTTTTTTATTTTTGAACCGGATTTTATCATAGTTCAAGCAGTAAAGATTTCGCTTGAGGTTCTTAGTATTAATATTATTAAAGAAGTGTATAATATATTTCTCAAAGATAGCTGGATCAGAGAATTCATTCTTCCAAGCTGTGTGCTAAAGATCGTTAGACTTTCTATAGTAAAGATAGCTTGTTTAGATATATTAATAAATCCTTCATAACTAGCCCTGACATATCTGACATGCTTGATTAATAATACTAGCTTTAATAAGATAACTATACTTTAAATTATCATAACTTGATAAAATATAGGTGCATCTCTGATGCAAGACTGGAAGACGGATAATCAGTAGAGTTTATAATAGTTAAACAAGTTAAAAGAGACTTATATTATGAAGATAATAGTTCAGTATCATATTAAAGTCTCCAAATTTATAGATGAGAAGAATTTAGTATAAGATTAGATAGTGTAAAAATAGTCTAACCTTACTAACATCTTATTGCCGGTAATACTTAGCTATATCATGACTGGATTACTTCTGCCTGTATCTAATGATTAAGATTGCATGTTCTATAAGTATATTTACCATAAGACTGAATATGCCTGTTATTTAAATAAGTATTCTCTATCCTATTATCTTTAATATTATTAGACGCTATATCTTCACTCCAAGCTTTCAGATAACTTAATAGATAAATAAGTAATTTCTGCAATCTAGGACAAATAAGAATGATTGTATATTTTATTTTTTATAAAAGAAATAAGGAGAATCTGATTAGGAAATGAGCCTGGAAGTCAGGTCAGACTATTTCTATTATTAAAGGAATCATGAAACTATCTGAGCTTAGTTTAAGTAACCAGATAAGTTATATGAGAGCATACCAGCGGACCCCAACCATATATTAGCAGGACTGAATTAAATCACAGTTATTAAAATTTCTGATTATTATGATCAGCTTTCTAGCTAAATCACTGTAAAGTACTCTGTAGTACCCTGATCTGTACCACCTATCCGGTTCTATCTAATTAGTCTGTCCACTTCTGTCTACTTCTGTCTACTTCTGTCTACTCCTGTCCACTTCTGTGCACATCTCTGCTTCTGTCCACTTCTGTCCACTTCTGTCCACTCTCCACTTCTGTCCACTTCTGTCCACTTCTGTCCACTTCTGTCCACTTCTGTCCACTTCTGTCCACTTCTGTCCACTTCTGTCCACTTCTGTCCACTTCTGTCCACTTCTGTCCACTTCTGTCCACTTCTGTCCACTTCTGTCCACTTCTGTCCACTTCTGTCCACTTCTGTCCACTTCTGTCCACTTCTGTCCACTTCTGTCCACTTCTGTCCACTTCTGTCCACTTCTGTCCACTTCTGTCCACTTCTGTCCACTTCTGTCCACTTCTGTCCACTTCTGTCCACTTCTGCCGCTTCTGTCCACTTCTGTCCACTTCTGCCGCTTCTGTCCACTTCTGTCCACTTCTGTCCACTCCTGCTGCTTCTGTCCACTTCTGTCCACTTCTGTCCACTTCTGCCGCTTCTGTCCACTTCTGTCCACTGCTAAACCTGGCAGCATCATACGATCGAGCAGGCCCAATAAATGAAAGTTCTTCCTTGTAAGATCTTGCAGCAGCATCCAAATCAAGTTAAACAGGATCCTCTCGTTTCACAGATTAATATGAAGTTGCCAAGTCTAGATATTAATATATTATTAGAATAAGGCTTTGATAAAAGAACATGCTGGCTTAGAAGTACATGGGCATTACATTTATAAAGCTAAGATTAGAATATATATAAGACTGACTAATCTATAAGTTTCAGACAGAAATGCTATAAGGGACTGGAATCTTATATTAATCCTGAGATCATCTAAACTCTTATTTTTGTAATCCAATATATATTATTATTCTAAGGCTTCAGCTATTCTTATTACTTGGAAAACTTTCAGTTAGTTACAAGAAATCACGGGAAATATCTTAATAATATTAAATAATAAAGCCTGATTAAGTCATACTTGTATTTATCTATCTCTCTATGAGTAAAGCTTGAGGACATGCAGGATTATCTTAAATATATATATAGCTTTATCAGTCTATTATTATACCCAGATTTATTCATATAATATACGGGAGCCTATATTTTTACTTATGCTAGAGAATATTGTTAAAGAATTCCGGATTTATAAGTAGTGGTATCTCTATTCATATCTTTAAACTCTTATAATTGAGATAAAAGATAGGATTATAAGTAATACAACCTATTTTAATGTCTGGCTCTGTCTCGGACATATCAAGAGGCTTGTAAAGTACTATAAACAGAATAATTATTTATTCAAGCTGGTTAGAAACTAACTTAAAAACAGTGATCCTCTTTTTAATACCTATGGCTTGGATTCCGCCAAAGAGATTATGAAGATATCCTATCTTAATTACCTAAAAACTCATGATAGTCTGTCCACTGTGATTTAACATGGTTAAATATTCTAAGACTCTTGAAACTGAGGTTAATATTGTTTTACAATACTGTATTGATATATGATCTTGAACTTCTGGACTGTTCAAGGCGGACAAGATAGAAATTATTATTCTTAGTTATTTTAAATTGCTCTAGTTACGCGTTCCTGGCTCATTTTCTTTGATAATATCTGTTTGAGGCTTAATCATACCTCATATATAATGCTCGGCTACGAATCAATTCTTTTTAACATTAACTTGAGGCTGAAGTTCACCTGGTTTTAGTATGACTTGTTAGGACCGTAAGCTTTTCCAGGCCCTATAAATAGAGCTGATAGTAGTATTTTACCGTCAATAACTTGCCCTTAAACTTCAATTCTTATACTGAGATGCTACTTCTATTAAGATATGATTAATAGCCACCTTTATTACTAGTCTATGCACTTGGATGTGATAGTTATTTATTCCAGTAATTAGAATACTTAAACCTGCAGAACATGTCAGAACCTTTTGATTTCTCTGATTAGATGAGCTAGATTCTTGCTTGTCCATGCTTTTACTTGATTTATCTAAGGGCGGGATATAGACACACTGGTCATAGCCTAGCAGTAAGTGATTATTTGACTTAAGTAAAAATCTTATAGCAGTAGTAATAAGTTACTGAGAAGCCGGAACTCGGTATAACTCGAGTGTATGGCCTTAATACATGCTCGGTTTGCCTATAATATAGATTTTTAGGTCCAAGGCTAGGGTAGCTTGTAAGCAATCTAGTTGTTACGGACCCCTGCTAGCTGAACGAACTAGTAAGGCGGACTCGTTAGGCAGAAGGCTACGTCCGGAAGACGAGGACTCTTATCGAGTAGAATCCCGATCTGAGTAACCTACAAAACCAGGACGGTTACACAGCACGTGACCCCGACGGACATGTCACCGACACGATATAACATGGCAGCGCTACGACAGAACATGGCAGTGCTACGACAGGACATGGCGGCGCTACAATATAACATATCAGCAACATAACATATCATGGCAATGCCATGACAAAGGATAGGATATAAGGACACTCTCTCATGTACTTAGCTAGTTCTGTTCTTCGTGCTCAATAATACTATCTTTAAGTAACTATATATTTTGATAAAGCTTAGTAATAATACTCATCCATACTTACTTACAGATAGCTGCGCGGCACTATCTGGCCTTACTTCTCTTCTCTTATTTAGATCAAGTCATCTTTAGATAGTCATTAATCTGACTATCTTTGATTCAGTTCATAAGATACGTATCGGAACGGGAGCTAAGCTAACAGGAACAGAGAAAAGCAATCCTAGGATTTGATACATTGAGTACCAGTCAGTACGAGTATTACCTAGTAATAACTAGTTATTATATTAACTATATTGAACACATCGCGTGCGCCTCAGCAGCAGGGCCCGACAACCAAGGAACTAATAGATATGATTAATCAGTTATAAGAAAGTATCACTGTCTTAAAACAATAGAACCAGTTACTCGAAGGTCGCTTATCAGTCAAATCTGTTAAGATCCGATTATCTGAGCTATTTAACGGCAAACAAGCGCAGCTTAGAGCTTTCTTGACTCAGTTAGATCTGTATCTTAACATAAATAAAGAAAGATTTAGAAATAAGAAGAACAAGATTTTTTTTACATTTACTCACCTTACCAGAGTAATATTTAATTAGTTTAAACCATATATCTGCAAATAATAAGAAAAGTTAGTAAGTAATTAGAATAATAATATAAAGCAACTTTTCACTAGTTATACTAGATTTAAACAACATCTTGAATAAATGTTTGAAGATATTAATGCAGCATAGAACACTAAGTAAAAGTTATAATAACTTAAGTAAACTAGATTGATATCTATATATATTTCAGAGTTTTAGTAAGTCATTAATTACCTGGACTAGAATAATAATACTTATATCTTATGATTTAAAGAAGGACTCAAGATAGAGATCCAAGAGAAGATCATTTAGTAAGAATGACTGGACACATTGACCAAGATAATTAAAGCAGTAATTAAGATTGATAATAAGTTGTATAACTTTAATATAAAATAATAAGAAGATCAGTGAACCAGCAGGTCTATATCTTAATATAATAATCAGCCAGGTTACCGAGCTAATAACAGAAGGTCAGCACAACCTAGAAGCTTGGAATACAAAGATCTCTATAGGCTGAAACCCATGAAGCTGGATGCAGCACAGCATCAGACTTAACAGACTCAAGTATCCAAGAAGGAATTCAAACAATATAAATAAGACTGCTTGTACTTCAGCTGCGGCAAAGCAGGTCACTAGTTAAAGAACTGTAATCAGAAACAGTAACAGTCTCAGAAGTAATTAAGAACTATGTATCAAGATCAAGACAGAGAAGTCTATAATATTACTACTATTCAGTATGAAGTTTAGACAGAATCTGTAATACAGATATTAAGTAATAAGAAGTTATATACTATTCAGTATAATCAACTATTAGAAAACAGGATATACTATGATTAGTTAAGATAACAGGCTATTCTGGATAAGTGAACAGTACTATCTAGTTAATAAGAAGATTAATAATTATCTATACTATTAGTTTGGACCACAGAGATCAATAATAATAATTATAAGCTAGTTTTAAGAAACAACTATCTTAATATAGTTTAAAATAAAGATAAACTATTGGATAAAGAGTACAGTATACTACTTGAAAACCTTGAACCCAGTAAGAAAAGACTTAGCAAGATATCTGATATCCTTGAAAAACCTTTATCAGAAATTAGTAAACTCTGTTCATCATAGTAAGACAAGGATAAGAAGAACTAGAAGAATGATTAAAAGAATATTACTTATTAATTAGACTATATCTTGAAAAAGATTTCAGAGAATCCAGTATAATTCTGTCCAAAGCTTAAGATAATCATACAGCATTGCCCATATTAAGATTTAAAATATTGAAAATCATAAAATAAAATTTAAAAACAATATTTACAGAGATACCCTTATCACCTAGAAATTTGTTTAACATATAAATAAGATAACACGGACTATCATTACCAGCTATTAGAGATTAATTAAAAGATAAATATTACTGGAATAAAGTCTTAGTATAACAAACCATATCTATATATTTATTTTAAAGAAAGTAGAGATTATTAAAGACATGATAAATTCTCTTAGCTTATATATTATATAAACACATGCTCAACATACCATGATTAGAAGTACATTACTAACTACTAACCTAAGATATCGGAAGTGGTTAAGACTAAGATAAGTCATTATTTATATTCTATCTTTGGTTACGCGTGTAAAGAATACCAGAGACACCCTTACCATAAATTAATATATTAACTAACATATTTTAATAATTAATATATAATATATTATATAGTAAAGATAAAAGGCTCAAGATTTCCAAGAAGATATCCATGGTAGTTAAAATCTAACTAGCCAGAACAGTAATTAATAATCATAAAGTCAGAACCATATCTGAAGATTCAAGCAGTTATATTAAATTAATTAGCTTAAGTACTGATAGATTCTGGAATAACCAGAAACTTTATGAACCCGCGATTCATGTAATAATTTAAGATACTTAGACAATAGAAAAAAGAACCTGAACTGATTACAGGACTAAATAGAGAGAATTTGAAAACTCTTATATTAATAGTTAAGTTAGGAACCATATCTATAACTGTAAAGAGTTACTATAAGTATATAGACTTTAATATAATATCTTTAAGATAATATAATATTATATTAAGGATTTCATGATTCAGGAATCATAATCTATAAATTAATTAGAAGACTGAGAGTCTCTAATTCATGAATTGTGATTGTCCAAGATAATACCAGCAAGGACTAGATATAGAGTCTAGATCTGTACGGCCTATTACTCAGCAAGAAGCTGAAATAAGGATTAAATAACTTAATAAGAGAAGGTTAAGATTGCTACGAAAGCCTAACGCGCCAGGCATTGGAGGTAACTTAAAGAAAAATAACATCTCAAGTATAGTTATATAAGTAATAACAGCAACTAAGCCATCATAGAGAGATTAGCTTATAAAATTATTAGAATAAGTATCAATAATAACAGACAAATATTAAGAATATAGTATTAACAGCTCTAATATAAAGATTGAGATAACTATCCAGGGACTAGAAGATTTATGGGAACTTCTAGCTATAGTCAAGAGTGATACACAGATCCTGCTATAATATAAGAGATTTAAAGACTTGTTTAAATAGCCAGAATAATCTGAATTACCTCAGTACAGAAAATATGACCACATTATTTCTATAAAAGAAAAAAAATTATCAGTATATAGAAAGATTTACCCAATATCTAAAAAGAAATCGCAGGCACTATAAGAATACATTAATAATCAGCTAGTTAAAGATAATATCA